TTCACTGTTGTGCGTGATGGGATGATGAGGGCCAATGATCAATGAGGTTTCCCAGAGAGTAGGTGCCACCTCCCTCTTTGGAGGGTTTGAAGCCCAACGTGAATAAAGTCCTGTGCAACCTGGTCTGACCCCACGGGTGACCTTGCTGTGAGCAGGTTGGACTTTCTAGACCTCCTGAGGTCACTTGCAGCCTGAACAATTCTGTTGTTTCCATTCACTATGGCTTTTCTCTTGATGATTTTAAGGAAAGCACTCGAGTTCCCCATGACCGTGGAAGTAAGTCAGGTGTAAATATGGTCAGATCAAGTTCAGCTTTGTTGTCTCACTCCAGTCAGTCTTTTGCAGGTGAAGGGCTGCTTGGCAGGTACCCCTGTAAAGTCCTGATCGTATCCCTGGCTTCACCTTGTACTTTCTTTTTCCCTCTTTTGCCCCTCCTGAGTTCTTCCCTTTGATCGTGCTCATACCCACCCATACAAACAGTCCACATCTGGTTACCCTTTCCTCATCAGATGTGGTTTGTCTTGCTTTGTACCCTCATGTGGTGTTGGTCGCTGTGGTAATACCTATCTTGGCTTACAATTTCATTTGACCATAGTATGTCCTCATCAAGGCAGGCTCAGACTTGACTGGATGAGGAGCAACCTCAGAGAAAAGGGCCTGGGCATTACAATGCAATTACATAGCAGCCAGTGGTGCCAAACATGAATATAGCCATGTGCATATTGGGCTGCACTGGGAGGAGCGTAGCCACCCAGACAAGGGGAGTTGTCATCCGTCTTGATTCAGCGCTGATGTGGCCACATCTGGAATAGTGTGTCCCGGTGTGGGGCTCCTCATTCTGGAGGAATGGCGAGAAACTGGAGATGATCCAGAGGAGGTATGCCAAGACGGGGTTAGGGGCCATGTATGGAGAGACTGAGAGACCTGGGCTTCTTAGGCCTAGTGAATCAGAAGATCTGGGGAGTGTAGTATCATGTAGGCCATGATAGCTTGAAAGTTGCTTTCAGAGGTGGTTTTTACAGGGAACAGCTGCCAGTGAGGACAGAGAGACATCAGTACAGGTAGGAAGATGCTCGTGGGGGGGAAGCAGGTTGCGTGTCTACAGCCTGAAGAGAAACAGGCATAGATGTGGGAAAGTGTAGGAGAGCCTGCGGTAGAGATGGCCAAGGCTGAAAGTCCCCGGCAGAACTGAGGCCTTGGTCCCCTTGGCTATGGCTGAAGCCTCTGACACCAATGCCTGTGAGGAGACACATTGTCCTCATGCCACTGGAGCCTCCTTGCCTCTTTTCTATTTTTTTCTAATTTTTCAGTCTACTGACGAAGGGATAGCAGCACTCTCCAATGGATATTGATCCAGGCTGTCTCCTAAGGAGCTCTGGAAAGGAAGGAAAAGCAGTCCCTTGAGGTCTGTATGGACAACCTTACTCCTCACCTCACCAAGCCCTCCAGTTTCCTCATGGGCCACCTGGGACTTGCATCACTTTTCCTCACATCAGACTTCTCCACTGAGGTCTGCAGCTGGATGTTATAAGTCCTTTACACCAGCTCCCACCTGCTTTCCTTAGAGAACTGGCTGCACACAGGCACAGAAAGGTTTCTCTTCATTGCCAACAAACAAAAGTTAAACACGATACAATTTAATAAACTTTAAAACTCTCCTCAGCTGTATGCTAAGTCCAAGCAGCATCTCACGTGGTCCACCTTTCACAAGGGATTTCCATACAAGAACAATTTTAGACAGAGACAAAAGAAAGGATAGATATAAACACAATTAAGGTGTTGACTAAAGAGTTAATTAGACTCCTGAAAGATGGGGCAAGTTTCTAACTCCCTGAAGCTCAAAGCAGAAACCAGACAGTTGAGAGGCATCTGAAGTACCAAAGAGCAAGCGGAGGAGGAAACCTGAGAGCAATGGGAAGGGCATACATCCAGATAGTCTGCTGAAAAGATGTCCTTAGACATGGCCATTGAATCAGGAGAGGTGGAAACACCTGAGTGACGAGGGAGATGAAATAATAGACGGAGTAGTGGTCATACAAGTACAGGGAAGATCACTATTTCTTCTCCTGCCATTAGTACACTTCCAGGAAATTCCTATTCTGTCATGGTGGGAAAACTTTGCCATTTCTTAGAGGTACTTCAATGTTTGAGCTGATGAAAATGTGCTTGTATATTTTTTTTAATGTAAAAAGAAAAAAAATAGAAAATTGTGCACCTTTGCAGGCAGACATCAGGTGTCTGACCACAAACAGGCAGTGCCAAATTAGGGGCTCGTAACCGAGG